TACCACTTCAAAAGAGTTCCTGCTAGAACCAGCCTCAAGAAACACTTTTGGTTCTGTTGATATATTTATAACCTCAGATTTCTTATCTAGTTCAGAATCATTATCAGAAAAATAAGCAGAATCTCTGTATGAATTCTGAATGCCACCAAACATAGTCTTGGAGACGTCTTCACACCTATCCATTATTTGTGTTGCATCCAAGTCAGCATTTACATCAGATGAAACAATTATCATGGGATTATCATGCAAAAGATGATCACCACCAGCAGCACTGGACAAAGCAGTCTCTTCACTAGAATTGCTACTAATTAGATGTGAAGTCCATTCAGGAGACTCCAGATTTTCAGTTTCATAGCCGCTATCAGCAGGTTTATCAGGTGGCAAAAGTTTCTGACCTACTAAAGACACCAAGACCTCATTTACATCTAAAGAATCTAATGAGTCTGGTGTATCTACAGATTGCCCAATGCTTTGGGGAGGAGTAGATAAACTGTCTTCCAACAGACTGTCATGACTTATACGATCTGAAGGAAGAACAGACAAAAGAGTAACATCTTTGATGAGACCCTCTGTGTTATGTTTTTGGACCTGAGCAAACATTTCATCATTTTCATCCAGAGGATAAGCATCATCTTGTTCCAATCCAAACTGCTTATTCTCCTCAACCGCAACTATCAACTCTCCCCAACAGCTACTGTCCTTTTTAAGTTCCTGGTTTTTATTCTGCCTTTCTCCCTCTTGTGCATGGAGTGTAGGACTGCCAGAGGGACTGGTCCCATCAATTTGGGGGTTAGCATTTATGGGTAGTGTTTTAGTAAAGTCTGCTTCAGGGAGGTGATCTATTCCAAGGCAAGAGTAATCCATAGTGCAAAGAGAGTTATTATCAACTCCTACTTTAGAAAGGGGCTTTTCAACTTTTGATAAGGGGGATGTGTGCTGCATATCCATTACCGGTGAGCTAGAATGCAACTGACTTTGCACAAGGAAGTCAGCAGGACCACTTGTGTTTTTATCTGTACCTATTTGAACAAAATGCTCATCCTCATGGACAGAAGTCTTTCCAGTAACTGCCAAAGTAAGTTCAACTCCCAAAGGATCTGTATTTGGTGACTCTAGATTGTTAGTGTTGTCCACCACACTTCTTAAATCATCATCACCAACTGCAGCTTTTTTACTCAGTGCCCCCTTTAATAAATGCTTTTCTTGAAGAAAAAGATAGTTATCAGCAAGCTCTTCTGAAGTCAGCAAATGAAGATCAGTCTGCTGTATGGTGTTTCCAAGCAAGGAAAGATTTTCATGGTCAAAAGTGACTCTAGGACTTTCATTCTCAGGGTGATCAAGTTTAGATTCCTCCAAATCAGAGTATGAAACTGCTTCAAGTGCCACATGAACATCCTTTAAATCAGCTAATTCATATCTATTTCTAGTATCGGACAATTGTTTTGTTCTGGTGACATCACTAAATGTATTTTGGAAAGAGTTTTCAGAGCCATTAACATGTAGTCCTTCCTTGGGATCTGTATTGTACACAAAATCCCCATCTGTAGTAGATTCTGCAGTAAAGTCCCTAAGAACCATGAAATGAGTATTCTTGTCCTTTAGAACCTCAGGGCTGTCCACTTCTGTTGTCAATATGACAGCCTGGCTATCAAAGTTTATAGCATTGCCTCCATTCTTCTCTTCCAATTGGATGTAATAATCATTTCCAACAGAAGGTTTATGGGCATTGAACACAGGAAGTTTACCAGACACACAAAGTGCAACTTCTTGCCCACTTTCATCTTGAGCTCCTGGCCCTTGCTCTGTGAGTGTGTTCTCAAAAACCTCCACTGGGAAGAAGATATTTGTGTAACTCATCCTTTCATCAAGATCTGCCTGACTTTCAAAGTGATCATGTTTGGCTGCCTCCCAGATGTATTCAAAGTTGAGCCCTCGACTTGTTTCAGTTACTGTGAGGACTTCTTCCAACTCATGGCCAAACCTATTCCCTGGGAAATGATCCAAGATTGGGAAGGCAGAGTTAGTTGAAGATTCTCTGTTTGAAGTATTTGGCTTGAGATCATTCCAGTGTTCAGGATCAATCACCGTATCCCTTTGACTTTGCATACGGAGGTACATTAGAAGCTTATGTACCTCTTCTGCTGTTGCTCTCTTGTCCGGTGACAACCAACAGAACTGCAGAACTTCATACCTATGAGAAGAATAACACATGTCAATACTACAATAAAACAGTACTATTTTCAAATCAACAGTTTCGTTCTGTAGTTTCTACTCTCTCACCCTCAACATACTTTTCAAAGTGGCTTACATTCACTGATTACTTTATTCCAGACTTGTCATTCTTTTGAGTCCTTTTTGAGTCCTTTTTGGCATTACAGAAGAGAGAGTACGATTAAGTATATCAGCTAGACCAACCCCCCCTAGTTAAATCATCACATAACCGCAAACCTAACAAATGCTGTCATGCCACCCCCATACCGGAGAGATGTACACCACAGCCATATCCTAGAATGACATAAGGAGACCACCAAATGACTGCTAACACCTTCTGTTGGGCTTTGAAAGCTGCAAACAGGCTACAAGGTTCACCCTCTGTGACCTCTGCTGCCTTTGCGTCATGGGGCAGAAGCCAAACCTCAAGGGAAAGACCCATGTTGTGACCAGTTGGGCAGCTGCCAGAGAAAAGAATCAAAGTCTATGGACTGAATATAGATTGACAGTATGACACTTCAGGATCTGGCCCCTGGACCTGCCAGATAACACCAGAGCATGCTGTCCATTACAATAAGTTGCTTCAAGATGTAGTTCCCAGACTCAGCCAGTCATTGCACAAATACATCCAATTTGGGTAAGTCAAGCCCGGATCATCTCTCCAGCCTGACAAGTGGTTTTAGGACCTAGGGCCAGGTTGTGGCAAGGTATTGCAGAACTGGCACCTTCAGCTAAATGGGAGAGGGGGCACTGGCAAAACTCTTGCAGGAAGGCCCGGTGAAGCCCTAGGGGTTTCTCTTGAGATGAAAGCCAACAGAGGCTCGGCACAGGTATAGTCCTCCACAGTCTAGCCACAGCTCCCCTAGTGTCAAGGAGAGCAAGCCAAATTGCTCTTACAGGTTTGCATCTAATTCCAGTAAGAATTTCAAAGATTCAGGTTTTACCATCTATCAGAATATGGCTGTTCAAGACATGGTTCCAAGAGCTTGGTCCGTTTTTCTTTTATGACTTGCATCAAGACTTCATTGTCAGATAAATCAGAGTAAGGCTTCGCAGCATTGCTGAAAAGTTCCCATAGTGTTACACCTAATGACCTGCAAAAGGAAGATCTTCTGTAAGATTTTAAATCGTACCATGACTCATGGTACTTTGGGCATAAGCTCTGACTACAAAAAAAAGTGCCAAGTTCTTCATTCTTTAATGTTCAGATTTTCAAACTGTTTATTACCAACAATATGACTGGAACTTCATAACAAGCTGCCTCACATAAGACCAAACCACATCACACAGAGCAAAGAATGAAGGATGTATGCAGCGGTATGTCTTAAACACTCACACCTCCCTATTTATTTTTAAACACTGGCTGAAAAACCACAGCAAATAAAAATAGAAAATGCCTTTGCAACCTTCCCATCTCATTCCTTGGGACAGGATGATGAATTTGCCAGGTCCTCCAGGGTTCTATGATCAATTACCATAGATCTCTGGAGGACTTGACAACACTGCAGAACTATTCAATTGGTAATACTGAGGTAGGATGAAAAGGGGGGTGGGGAAGGAGGTTGGGAGATAGCTTTCTTCACAGACAATTAACAGATGTTTTAAAAGGTATCATAACTGGCAGAAATAAAAATAGAGAGCTCTAGGGCCCAATAATTTTGCTGTTGTATTTATTATTATTAACACTGAATAATCAAAGTATGAAAAATAATATTAAAATGTATTAAATTCACTTCTGATTAACGTTTAAATATAATGTTGATTAGGATTTTTAAAAAATCTTTGGCACTGTTCTAAACCAAAATGAAGACTTGCAAGACACCCAATTTTTAATGGACAACTTTTTATTATTACTATTTATTTTATGCAAAAATTCTGCTAAACATATTCCCATTCTACAAGTCAATAGTAAACCTCACCTTTGGGATTTCTAGCAGAAGTTAAGTGACCTTTGCAGAATACAAGTTGTTTGTTTACTGACTCTGTGGGAAAGTTTATTGACTTTCAAGGGAAATAATGGACAACTCAACCCACCAGCATTCAGAGGAATCATTCAATTTATAGCTGAGAAAGCTATAAACCACTCCAGCCTTGCATAGTCTCTATTCAGGAAGAGAAGAAGTAAGCTCCCACTTTCAGTTTAGATTAGAACAAACCACAAAATTTAAAAAAATAATGGTTTATTCTAAATTAAGTTATCAAAGATATTTGTATAGAACAGAATACTGTGGTTTGTTCTAAGTTAAAATTAGAAGCTTTCTCTTCTTCCTCCCATTGAGGAAACAGCAGTGCTCAGCTCAAGGCTTATGCGGGCTCATTCACAATCTAAACTACGGTTCATATATCCATCACACCCAGGCCAAACAAATGCAATTAAAGAAATCCTCAACAAATGCAATTTTCATACCAGATGTTACTGTACTTTGTTGGCTCAGCTGTTAATAACCTATCCTGAAAGCTAGTCACCAGTTCTGGTGCAGTCCATCGAAGAGGCACAAGTTTCTTTTCATCTGTTTCAATATAATCTTCCTGTCACATTAATGAGAAAACATACAATTAAAAAGAAACCAAAATATATGCTGGAAAACAAACAAACATAACCGAGTAGTATTAAGGACAGAGTCCATAATGCTGCCCTGTTGAGCTAGGGAATATTAGTACAGCGACCCTAAAGCAACCCTATCACTGGGTTTTCTTTTACAAGATTTGCTCAGAAGGGTTTTTGTCTTTGTTCTCCTGTGTGGCTAAGAGAGTGTGATTTTTACCCAAGGCCATCCAACGGGTTTCCATGGCTGTGCAGGGGTTTGAACCCTTGTCTTCAGAGTTGTAGTCCAGCACTCAAACCACTATACCACGCTGGCTCTCAAATAGTACCTAACAGTTCCTATTTAATTAAAAATTTAAGTACAAGATTATTTTCCGAAATAAAATATTGTATAGTGCTTCCTTTGTCGCTTGACCCAGACTAATATATGCTTTTTCTGCACTAAAACGAAAGACATGAACAGAAGACTAGCAAATCCAGACTATAATAAATGAATTAATGATATATAAATGAAAAATACAAAAAAAATATACACACTGAACCTACTGAACCCCAAATTAAACAAGTCTACATAAAATAAATTGTAACACAAGTAGTTTCATTCAATAGTAAACCAATACCACCAAATTCAGGCTCTAAATTTAATCATCTTTGCATGCATTCATTTACCTTATACCTACTGAATCCTATTCCATAATCTCCAATTTTTACATTTAGATCAGATGTAAGGAAGCAATTCCTTAAGGCCAAATCTCTGGAAGAAGTGGGGAAAAAATGCAATGAGAACAAAAGAAATGTCAGTACAAGGTCAGATGATAAAATGAAGAAAAGACCTGTAACAATGAAGCTGATCTCAGAGCTTACTGGATTGCAGATATAGGAGCAAAACAGACCACCCCTTTGTGCCAGCTTGGGGGTGGTGTCAGAGTGCGGCGTTTAGATGCCACACACTCTGATGCCACCCCCAAACCGGCATCACACAGCCTACCCAACCACATGACAGCCAGCTTTGCGGTGCTCCAGCAGCGCAGTGTTTATAAGCCAGACACCACAGGAGCGCCACAAAGCCACAGCGGCAGCAAAAAAGCTGGCTTTTTGCTGGCTCAAAAAGGAGTGGCATTTTGCTGCTTCTTTTTGTGCTGGCAAAAAGCGAGGTTGGGGGCATGGCATGCGCTTGCCATGGCCCTAACCCAGCATTCAAAGGGGTGGCGTCCAGCCGCCTGTTCCAGGTGGTTTGTTTCGCCCCCTTAAACAAAGCATCAACAGCAACCATCCTAAATCATTACAGAACAGGTATGTGTCTGTTTATTTGAACCCTAAAGAACCTAAAGAACCAGTATATTATCTGGAATAGGTCTGTCTGACTTGGACTGGAAAGTCTAGATTCAGATCCTGAAACCCTTTTGGTGATTGTCAGTCTACTGCAGGTACTAGCCACAGGGGAGGTGGTAAACAGAACTATAGAGGAAGATTGTTTTTGCAGGAAAATGGGACATGCACTAGTCTAGGAAATCTGCTTCTATTGTGGGGCCTTACAGGTCCCCCACCCCCAAAATGTGAAAAGGCTGAGCTCCAGTATGCAAATGTGCCTCATAACATAGAAAACTGCCATAGGCCACAGTGGACCATAGGTCCATCCAGTCCAGTATTGTTGACACCGACTAGAAGGACTGCTACAGTATTTTAAAAAATTAAAATTTCCAACCCTGTTTACGAAATGCTAGGGATTAAATTTGGGACCTTTTGCACACCAAGTGTCTGTTCTGTGACTGGACTATAGGCCTTCTTTGGAGAAGTTGTTATATCTTTGCACTTTACAATTAATAATAATAATAATAATAATAATAATAATAATAATAATAATAATTTATATCCCGTCCCTCTGCAGAGCAATCGGGGCGGCTTACAACATTAAATTTACATAAAGATATGTTAATACAATGTAAAAAGAACCTAAAAATCCAGAAACCCACCCATCCCTTAAAAGGTAAGTTTTAAAAGTTTTGCCTTAGTGCTTTATCAAGTATTTATGAAAAAGAGATAACATTATGTATCTGAAAATCTTACCCATGCACAAAATTGTGCTTATGCATTATGGAGAGCCCAGCAGCAATCTCACATGCCATCCTCTGTAGCAACATTATTTGTGCATCTCCTTTAATGTTCTCTTGTTCGTTGCAAAGATACGTTTTTAGGTCACCCTGTAAAAGGAGTTTAAGAACACTCATCAATGCTGATTCCACTTAACAGACATGTAATGAAGCAGCACACATAGTTTAGTTCTCATCAGTCAACAAGGTTATTAGCAGGAGTTATAAATAAGCCTATGCTTAGAGAACTCTGTCATCAGATTTCCAGTTTCTGCAATGGTTCTATGAGAAGGCACCTGGGGCACACACTGTGGTCCTTTTAAGGCCATTTGGTGATTACTCTATACAGGTAGCTATTAAATGACCAGGATTAAGTTTACAGGATAATGAAAACACGGAAGGGACATCTAAAGCTCTTCTGGAGGACATGAAAAGAAAGGGGCTTAAGGCTGAAAGACAGGAGTGAAATGAGAAAGAAGAATCAGAGATAAGAACAAGAAATGGAATAGTGGATTGCCCCAGCGATGACAGAGAAAAGGGTTCCCCCTGCATCTCCATTTGTTACATTTGTTAATTGGTAATTGTCATACACCTGAAACATTTAAAACAATGAAGACAGAATCCATAAAATACAGTCACTATATTTATATTTAAAATTATGCAAAAAACAAAAAACAAAACTAGAACACCCCAACTATTGTATGCGTAAATAATGATATCTGAATGATGTTGTTATTAAAGTATCAAGTAGGTGAGAGAACAAAAAAGTATTTATCTGGTGCTAGAAAGCAATTAGAGAAATGTGCCTGACATCTTCACTGGGAAGATAGCTCCCTAAGTATTAAGGGGACAGTTATTAAGGTTCCTCTCTTGTTAGTCTCCACTTTTCAGATTGAAGGAACACTTGAAAAGGAGTCTTTAGCAATGAAGGGTTTGGGCAGGTACATATAGCCATTCCTTTAACTTCCAGGGTCCCAAAAGTCAAGCTTTCGCAACCTTTGGTCCCCTGAAGTAGCGGTGTACTACTACGCCCATTATCCTTAGGTACCAGTCCTCCTGGATCCCATACTAGGAGAAAGGAGGGGTATAAATTAAGACCCAAGGCTGTCAGGTCAACTCTAGTACTCTGAATTGAGCACATAAATGGATGAGGAGCTAAAGATGTAAAGTACATGCATATTTCATGGTGAGCATTTTAGAACTTTGACTTCTCACAAACAGATACAATGCATTTATATATTAAAATATTTACATCCTATCCTATACAGAAAAAAAGATCTTAGGGAAGTATACAACAGCATTTATTTCAACACATCAGAACCATTACAGGTGAGTTAAAAATATTTTATACATATTGAAAAATATGAGAAGTTAAAACAGAAAAAAACCCATGTACATATATAAAATGGATAGATTCATTAGAGCCCAAAATCTTTATAACAAAAGCATTTCGGTCTTATTCTTTGCAGCAAAAGTGCTGAGCAACACTTATAGGAAGCCTGAAGCTGACAGCCCCATACAATAAGCACCAACCTAGCAATAAAATAAAAATATTTTATTGAAATAAAAGCCCAATGGTCCATTTCAATTTCAACATCTAAGAAGCAATTTGATTCCTTCACATGTGACAACTGGTCACAGAATGCCTGGCCTGTGAGAAGCCGGGGTCCAAAACACATTGCAGAAATAACCCAGCTTGAGACAACTTTATCTGCCCTGGCTCAATGCTAGGGGATCCTGGGAATTGTAGTTTGTTGTGGCACCACAGCTCTCTGATAGAGAAGGCTGTCTCACAAAACTACAGCTCCCTGAATTCCCTAGCATTGAACCAGGGCAGTTAAAGCGGTCTCAAACTGGCTTATTTCTGCAGTGTGTTAAGGACCCTAGTCTCAGAGATGGCATGAAAGCTCCACCTGTGGTTTTACCCTCCTACACATATACAAACATTACAGGAGCAAATGAGTGAAACTCTGAGCCAAAGTGCCTCACCAACTCTAGATGGCAGCAAAACATTAACCAAAAGAAACGAATTTATCTTTCAGCAGCAGGGCAGTTTTTGAGATTATGGACTATAGCGGGGATAGGAATTACAAATGGTCCCTCCACATTCACTGGGTTTAGAGGTGATGCACCTCCGTGAATGTGGAAAAACTGAAAATAAAAAAGCACTATTCTTTTTACCTAAGAAAACAGCTCTTTAGGAATCTCCAGGTCCTCCAGTACAACTCTATGGTCAACATC